CCTCACAAAGACCAATAGTGAAAACAAAAAAAACAAAAACCAAAAAACTATCATTTTTATCAACAGAGAAGGTGTAATGGAGAGATTCTTGAGCAGAGGATTCCGGCAATTAAGAAATCCGAGAAAAAGAAAAAAAGAAAAAAGAAAACCAAGGTAAAGGTGACGCTCCGAAAGCTAGAACTTGAACCTTTTTCAACATTCTCTTTGGCTTTGTCAGCCTTAAGCAGCTAAGTTTTGCTCCTAAAAAATAACATAATAGTAGTGAAAGTCTGTTAACCATTTTAAAGAGGAATGTTATCGTTTGTCTCACTATGTGGTCACTTGAGATGTGGATCGCAACGTTTCGACTGCATACATAATGCAAGTCCGCACCAATAACAGCCGTGGAATTCCATCCAATCACAGCTAAGCACAACAGCATATAGGTGACACGTACACTGTCCACCTCATCGCCTCAAGATGACTAGCACTATGCCGTCGGAACGTTGCGATCCGCATCACAATAATAATAATAATAATAATAATAATATTTATAATAATTTATCAATTTATAGTGCGCTATTTACATACAATGATCAAGAGCGCATTACACTTTTGATTAAATTAAAAATTAACTTAAACAATATGATATGTCAAACTGAGAATAGAACTGAATGTAAAATTGCTCACCGATAAAAAGTTTTAAAAAGATAAATCTTAATATGCGCCTTAAAACTGTTCACATTAGTAATCGCACGAAGTTCTTTTGGAAGAGAGTTCCAGAGCCTTGGCGCTGCTACCATAAAAGCTCGATCACCTAACGTCTTGGATCGAGTAGCTGGCATAGAAAGTAAAATACTATCTGAAGATCTAAGGTTATATAATGACGATTTAAATGTTAGTAAATCACATAGATATTTGGAACAAGGCCGTGAATTGCTTTGTACGTAATAAGCAGAATCTTAAATTCTATCCGGGCTTTAACAGGGAGCCAATGCAGACCGCGAAGAAGGGGTGAGACATGACAAAACCTAGATGTATTACAAACTAGCCTGGCTGAGGCATTCAAAACTCTCTGCAATTTGTTAAGCTGGTAGTTGGGCAGCCCATACAAAAGACTGTTACAATAATCAACACGAGATGTAATAAATGCATGGACAAGCATTTCTGTTGATTCTCGAGACAAATACTTGCAAATGCGTTTGATATTTTGCAAATGATAAAAGGCAGCACCATATAACTTGCTAACATGAGTTGACATAGTAAGCCGCTCATGAAACCATGTGCATTGGTTTCTAGCTAGTGTTACCGGACAAACATCAATCGACCCAACCCTAATGCAATTGATGTGAACCTTGGCCAGCTGCTGCCTGGTACCTATAATTAAAAATTCTGTTTTGTTATCGTTTAACATAAGATTATCTGAAATCATCCAACTCCTAATGTCTTTGATACAGTCAGTCATAGACTTGATGGCAAAATCAGCATCCACGGATCAATAAGGGCTGAATGATACATACAACTGTGTGTCGTCCGCGTAGCAGTGAACTTGTGGAGGATGGCGTTCAACAATCTGAAACAGTTTGCGCGTGTAGATAGTGAAAAGCACAGGGCTCAAGCATGATCTTTGAGGAACACCTTGTTTTAAAGGAAACTGAACTGAGAGACTACCATTTACAGAAACACGCTGGGTCCGGTCAGATAGATACGATTTAAATCAGGTAAGCGCATTGTCAGAAATTCCCAAATCAGACTCAAGACGACCAATCAGCTTATCATGATGTGTCGTGTCAAAAGCTGCACTCAAATCTAATAATACAAGCAAGGTGACATGTTGGTCATCTATAGACATCAAGATATCATTTTTAACTTTAAGTAAGGCCGTCTCCGTGCTGTGTTGCTGTTTATACGCCGACTGAAGCAGAGAATGTAAGTTGTTAGCAGTCAGATGCTCCATAAACTGCTCAGCCGCAGCCCTCTCCGACAATTTAGAAATATAAGAGAGGTTACTGACCGGACGAAAATTTTTGAACGCAAAGTCCAACCCAGGCTTCTTGACGGATGGTAACACAAGCGCCTCTCTCCAGGCCTCAGAAAATCGACCGGTGTCAAAAGTGACCTCATCGTGAGACAAACGAGTAAATTTATCTTTTAAAGTGTTATTTACCATGATGAATAACCACAACCTGTTTTGCTAACCGGCCTCAAAAATCTATCTATTCTCACTAAATTAAGAACGCGTCAGACGAAAAACGATTCAATCCACAGTGCACACTTTGCTTTCCATCATTTGCAGTAGTTATCCATTTTGCATCGTGAAACAGATTAGCATTTATTTGGTATCCCTCGATCTTTACTTTCATTATCACTGTGGTGTTCTTCTGCACTTTTCCACGGTGAGTCGTTAACTCCCGGTCTCTCCCAATTTGGTTAAGCAGTACCTGATTTACATTTCCTACTACAGTTGGTAAATTTGCCATCGCGAAACAAAATGATAAGTTACGGCTCTCGAGTTCTTTTAACTTTGATGGCAATGAGTCAAGCTATTTTGTGAAATGGTAAAATTATGGACCCTAAACTGATGAACTTTCTTAGAGGTAAATATACATTTCCACTCTGTATTTGCAGCGTAAACTTGCATTGACAACTCCTTCGAGGGGAACACGAGGCTAGCATAAAGTGCAACTTCACAACACTGCCGATCTTAAGAAGTCGTTACTCCAGCCTTGCAGCGAAACCTTCAGTGAACCGCAGATGCAAACAGATACACAGGGTGAAAAATAAATAATAAACTTGAGATCGGTAAGAAATGCGATATTTTGAGAAAGTAATTAGCTATAGAGAAGTCTCAACTCGTCAAAGAGGCTGAAGAGAGTTCCGGGAAGGAAAAAAAGATTCGCGTCCCCTTATTTAACACATTGCCAAGGTCAATAGAGGAAACGGTATGCCTCTTTATGTATTCTGAAAATGGTTCTAAAAGCTATCAATCACGAAGTATAGATTTTAAATGGACATTTCGAGAGACCTAGTCCTCGATAAATAGTCCTCGATAAATAGTTTGGGATGGCTGAGGAAATCTAGAGACCACTCAGGGCTGCCAGCTGGCGCGCTGTTTTTCAGTTCACTCGCTCCACTCCTCCCCTCTTCAAATTGATTTTTTTTTTTTTAACGTCCTTTCCGTTGGCAGAGGTTATTCTTCTTGGTGTCTTTATAAGCCAAAGTTTCACTTCTAACCACTGCCTACGTACTTTACGGACAAGTTCTCTTGTTCAGGTTTCGCTTCACGGCAAAGCGCCTTGAACAGCCTACCTCGTTCCCAGGGCCTTTTCCCATCCTCACCCCAAACCAAGGGAAAAGGCCCTGGCAACGAGGTTGTTGAACACCATCCGCAGCCGTTTAAGAAAAAAATTATTTAGCCCCTGCACTACGTCAACGTAGAATAGTACTTAGTGTTGACTTTTGTCTCGTTTTGATGTTTAAAATGCCAATCGCGCCATCAGGAATATTGATATTGAAGTAAAGAATCAACGAGATGAAGAAAAAATAGACCTTTAAAAATAGATATTGAAAAACTTATTTACATTCAGTTTGCGATCTAGGTCTTGTTTTTGTTTGTGTTATCTTTGCGAACCGATCTCGTGTCTGTTTTATGAAATTTTCATAGGCAATCGCCATTAACTTTGTTGGTAAGATTATCTTCAAAAAACCTTTCAGAACGCTGCCCACCTCAGAAACAAATAGCAAATAAATTTCTAGAGGTCTCTGTGCATCTTAATTAAGATCCTAAAATGCAAAAATTCAAATGCATAGTATTGTGAAATAATTTTCTAATAGATACTTTGTTTATATTTTTCGTCGACAATACCATAGGTTTAAATGAAAATTCAACGTGAAGATGAAGCAGTGACGATGTTAAGTTAAAGCGAATAGCTAAGCACGTAGTAGCAGTTTAATCCTTTATCGGAAGTCGAATTTTATCGAATGTTTTGCGATAAATTTAAGTTTTATTAGTGGCAATAAATTCTAGAAGGAAAATTTTTAAGACGTGAGCGAGATAAAAAGCAAAATAATGATAACAAGCGGAAATTACGAGAAGGTCATCTTTCATAGGCCATGCTGCAAAAGAAGGTTCGTGACATGTTTATGAGCGAATGGGATTTTTTCTTTAGTTGTAGTGCCTTAAAGGAAAAAAAACACCCCTATTTGCTTTTAAATGATCCAATTAATCAAGATAGGCATTACCTATGCTTCCGCAGGTAATTTATGAATCCACAGTGGATTGGCAAAAGTGCCGTCTTTTGCGGTTTTCTAATTTGTGCCAAATATACTTTATTAATTGGAATAACATGGACTAGATTATTGGAAAATCGGTGCGCGCTTGGTTTTTCTCTCTTCAGTAGACTAAATAAAAGAAAATACAGAACTCCTATGGGTTTTAGTTGTCTTAAGGCAACATACATGGCGAGAAAAACAACTCACGTGTTTATACTTTTATAGTCATTAATGTTTTTGTAGCAGGAACCGCATAGATCCTTGGAAAAGCTGCTAATTCTGTTTTACGAAACCGAAACAGAAACAACACTGCAGAAAATAGAGCCAAAATTTGTCGTTACGTTCTTTATCGCTGTAATGTCTGTCGGTTTTTGATGGGATAAAATGTACCTATTTTGCCACTAAATATCTAAAGCATAGAATACAATGTAAAATTATTAATGCCTCATATTATATTTCCCGTCGATTTTTGTCTCTTGCTACAATCTAAGTGCGTATGGTTCTAACTACAAACCACAAAATGAAAGTCCTCCTAAGCCAAACCGCAACAGATAAAGATGAAACCTTATTTTTAATACTTCAAAATTTATAGCAAAGTACGCAGAAAATTTGCATTTTGTTATCTTGTGTTTACGTAGATGACAGAAGCGATGACAGGGTCTTGTTTGGCACTGACGCACTATTAGAATGAATTGTCAATATCTCGTTTTCTTCGGCTCTTCATTATTACGCCATCTGCATGGTTCAATAACACAGGACGGGGCCTATTGCCAAGTGTTTTGAATTGCATTCATAAAAGTTTCACCGCGCAGGGAGAGAGTTGAGTTTTATTGGCAGTCTAACAACACATACCACATCCCTGTGTTCTAGCAACGCCGTTGTTTTTGACATTGTCTACGGTTGGAGCTCTCTCCGTGAAATCACCTGCTATCTACAACAGGCAGCTGCCCATCAAGATCTGGGGGAATAAAATCAATATCCTTTACCGGTTGCTGAATTGCCTACGTATAAGAATATCTAATAGAGAATTGTAGTAAAAATCCAAAGGGAAAAACACCGCGTATATATCACCGTAATAACGATTACTTTTTAACACGGCTAAGCGCGCAACTGCAGCTCCCAGCTCAGCGTCACTGAATCTTTCTATGAAACTATGGATACAGACACGGAAAAAATTATTATAAATGTTGGTGGGAAACGCCATGAGACGTACGCCAGCACACTTCAAACCATTCCCGACACGAGACTTTCATGGTTAGCAGGCAGTTACCTCAACAGAGATACTAAACAAGAATTTTTCTTCGACCGAAATCCAAAAATCTTTGGCATCATTTTAAACTACTACCGTACTGGCCATCTCCACGCGCCGAGAGATTTCTGCGGTCCGCTGTTTCAAGAGGAGCTGGCGTTCTGGGGAATTGAGGAGAGAGAGATGGAAGCATGTTGTTGGCCGTATTACACGCAACACCGAGACGCTGAGAAAAATTTGAAGGATTTTGTAGGACCTGAGTTTGAGGATTCGGATGAGAACGACGACGACGACGACGAATTCTCGCCGGAATCCGATTCAACATACGGTCAGGCGACTACTTTGTCATGGTGGGCAACGTACAGACCTAAAGTTTGGGCCGTGGTAGATGACGCTCATTCATCTACCAGAGCTAAGGTATTAAACATGTTTGAGAAATATGTTACCACTTTTTTTGTTTTAATGCGTACATCCGGTTTAAACTTTGCCGATCACGATTTAAAGATGAAGTCTTTTATGTGACCTGATCTGTTGCTTTTCCAAGGCTGCAACAATTTATTCGTTTTAAGAATCAATCTTTTACTATAATTTTTCTTGTTGAAATCTAGCTAACGAAACTCGAACGGGGAATAAAATGAAAGCTTTTCGAATTAAATTATCGCAGTGCTCGCTAAACAGTGCATGAAGAATTATTTACCTGGTAGGTATTGCCTCCTGAATAAACAACGGTTTATCCTTTCTTAAATGCTAGCGCTCGCATAGATGAATGGAAACAGCGAATCATTGACCACATCAGGGATATTAGCGTAAAATAAAGTATTCAATAACTTCTATTGAGCGAAAGGAAACTGTTGAGTTGGAGTTAAAAGAACGGCTTGAAAACACAGCATTCAGAAATGATGAAATCGACGAATGGACTTCGCACAAATCTTATTCTTTTTATTTGCATTTGGACGAGTTTTCCTACGGAAACAACCAAATTGTTTATTTTCATGGCTGTTTTTTCATCCTTCGGAGTCTTAGACGCTGCTTAAAGTCTAGTTAGATCAAATGAAAACATGCCCATCTGATGTTACGATTACAATAGCAGCAGTACAATGTTGTGCGAGAATATGGTTTTGAATGCGCTTGCTTTGATGTCTACTTTAGATCTTTGCCCCCGGGTTTACAAAGCAACAGGAACATACGATTAAGTTCGAATCCCTATTGATTGAAGCTTAAATACTGGTCGGGAAAAAGTAATCTGGCTGCGAAACTTTAAAATGGTCTAGAATTTATGCACTTTTGGGGGGGGATTTATGCCTGAAGTGAAATTCTAGACTTTAAACAAAATTATTTTGTCATACAGAATGAAAGAATATTCTCGTTTTTTGACAGCTGGGCCATTTCCGACCGGGAATTTGTGCATTTGTTTGTTATCAGCTATCAAAAATATTTTTGTTTTTACCTATGGCAACGCACGAGATTGTGCTGGTAAAGCAACTCAAACTTCAGTTACAAGTCAGTAAGTTTTCAATGATTTTTATTTCAGCGCCCTTCTGCTAAATCACTTTTTAAAACACCTCGCTCGCTTTTAAATTTATCATTTTTAATACCGTCTGGTACTTTAGGTGTAAAATTAGCATCTCAGTTTTGAATATTTATCGACCGCTTAAGTTAACACCGTACTAATTCTAAGGAATCACTTAAATTTAGAAGCAACCCGTACTCATTTTTCTTTTATTTTTGATCCTATCAAAAACCGAATGGAAGAATAAAATAATGAAGAGGCAATATCATTGCCTGGCGGTTTCCAGCAATTGTTGATTCCCAGGATCAAAATGCTCTTTATCATGGATATTACTTTGACGCTCTTTTTGAAATGGTGACATATTTAAAATGAAAACAGATTTATTTTAACCCAGCTGTAGGGAAATCCTCTAAAATCTTATATTGAATGTTTCTCCCCGAAGTTCCGCTCACAATCACAATTTATGCAGATGCGACGCCTTTCTGATATCGCTGACAAACACATCAACGGAATATTTCTAATCTAACTTTTTCTTTTTTGCTTATCCTTTCGCTGAGTTTTCTGGGGCGACGTTCTGAAAGATGCGATACAAATTTCCCACCGGCTCAATCACAGCAAAGTTTGTCTTTTCCGCTTTTGTATTCATGATTGTAGCGTCTGTAGAATTGTTCTTAGTCAAAACCAGAAATTAACTTATCAACTGGTTTTAGAATATGTGTCAAACAAAGTAACAACGTTTCAAACGAAGATTGCTTTGGGTTCATATTGTCAGACTCTAATATCTAACTTGATCGGCAATTTATTGTCTAGAGAATTCTCGGTGCAAGAGTTCGACGTTGGAAGACATTTCCCATTTAGTTTGCGCGAATAGGATGCGTCTTGCTGCCGCTTTGGCAAAGTGATATGATGCCTAGCAGAAGTTTACATTAATAATAAAATCATGATGAAACATCATATGTCGGGGAAAGGTGCACATATTTAATGCCAGAAAAGACTTTAAGGAGGGTTCTGAGTGAGATAAAGTGAAACATGGAAGCACCACCATGAAACGTGATCTCAGTTTGATTTCATTTGTAACGAATTCTTTCTGTTGTTAATAACTTTATCGCACCCTCCCTAAAAAGACGTTCTTTTGGTAAAACTGCAACTTAGCAAGAGCGACGAATCACTTAAACGAAGTTTTATACCAGTGTAGATTGAAAAAAAAAGAAAATTAATGGAGCCATGTGTATTGACAAGCCTTCGATTTATGCCAAAGAACAAACGGGCACTCTGTGTAATCGAATGTCTCATGTGGAAATAATGTTTATGTTACATGTTAACTGACATTTCCTCTTTAAAATGGAAGTGCAAAGGCCTCCGAATAAACGGCCGTTCATTCTAGATTATGAAACAGGGTTTTTAGAGGCGACATCCTGTGTAAAAGTTCTAGGCATGAAGTCCGCATTCATTTGAATTCGACATTAAATATTTTTAGCCTTAAGTCTCCGTCTCTTTTTATTTTATCTTTAGTTCTATCTTAATACATAATTTCGCAGCTGCGTCTTGTTTGATTAAAAGCTGTACGTGATTTCGGTGATTTCAGAGATAAAGAGGGCATATTTAGACTATAGCAAGCGCAAATAATCACAAAAATAAAGCAAAAGTGATCTCAAGAGCCAGACGAAAAAAATAAAAACAGCGATGCATCAGTCTCTTTCGCAGAGGGATCTAGTTTCGTTCGAGGGTGCCGCTAGTTTCCAATCAGCCACCGAATTAAAGAACACCAATGTAATCGTGGATTGCGTTGGACACCCACTTGCATTTAAAAATACTGTCACAAAAATTCTTCCATCTTAAGTGTCTAGAAAGCTAGTCATTTCTTTGTAGGTGAGGTACGAGAATATAGTGTTACATCATGGTAACGACTTCTACCTGATAAGTTCAAGTATTCTCATTACCCGTTTGCTGGATGCTGTATGGATATTACAAAGAGAAGTTACACTTAAATCACTTCTGGGAGTTCTAAGTTAATGCTATAGAAACCTGGATAAGCTGGATGGATCACTCAATTGCAAAGGACAGGGGGCGTCTCACTAGGCTTAGCCGCAAGTTGCTCGGTAACTTTTCGGCAACTTTCGAGATTTTTGGCAACTTTTTAGAATTTTGGCAACTTTTAGAACTTTCGGCAACTTTGGGCTTTTTGAGGTTCTTTGAAGCCACTTTCTTCACGTTTTGAGCCACATTGGTCAGTTTTCGAAAGACATTTATTCAATTTATTCTAAAATACAATAATCAGGACCCCCCATGGGTTGACTTTTGTGATGCCTTATCAAGAGGTCAGCGGTATCACGTTGCACGTTTTTCAAGATGGAGGACAATTACAGTGACTATTTGTGGATCAAGTGAAATTGAAAGAACGTCTGATATTATCATTGGACTTTGACAAATAAAGTTTTGATAAGAAGCAATGTGCGAATTTTTAATCTTTAACACCCAAAAAAGGTACGAAAAGCAGAAAAATTTTGCCAACTTTTCGGCAACTTTTTGGAAATTCAGCAACTTTACGGCAACTTTTTGAAAAAAATAGCAACTTTTTGTTAACTTTTAGACACTTTTATCGGAAACTTTTTTGGGATTCATCGGCAACTTGTGGTTAGGCCTAGGTCTCACTGAGCTGAGATTAGGTTTGGTAAAGGACACGACACAGGTTCAGCTTTGTTTCTAAAATATTGATATTTAAAAAAAGTCTTAGAAGTAATCAGCCTTTAAAAAGTTATTTAAAAGCTTTCATTTCCTTTTCAGGTATTCGCCTTAACTTCTCTCTTTATGATTCTGGCCTCGGGGGCAGCTATGTGCGTATCGTCAGTGGTACAGGATAACAGCAATGTCTACATTAGAAGCTTTAACTATGCATTTTGCGCCTGGTTCACTTTGGAATTTGGCGTGAGGTTGTTATTTTCCCCAGACAAGTTGGCGTTCTTTAAGGAAATTATGACGTGGGTCGATCTTATATCGCTGCTACCGTTCTATGAAGACATAATTTTTAACTCTTGTAAACTAAATTTTCTCCGAGCTGTGAGACTTATTCGTACATTTCGTGCTCTGAAAGTTTTCGCCTTTACAAGCGGTTTACAGATTATAGTTCAATCACTCAAAGCGAGTTTCAGAGAGTTGATCTTACTGCTTATAATTCTCCTCATTCCTGTTGTCGTATTCTCTAGCGTGTTGTTTGAAATCGAGTCTGATCAACCAAAACAGAAGGACTTTCAGAATATCCCACAGGCCTTTTGGTGGGCCATCATTACCATGACAACAGTAGGTTATGGCGACATGGTACCGGTCACGATCCTTGGGCGAATCATTGGAGGAATCTGCGCAATATTCGGCGTACTGATTGTGGCGCTGCCTGTCTCGGTTATTGGCAATAACTTCTCCACTTATTACTCTCACGCGCAAGCAAGGCTTAGCCTTCCAAAGAAAAAGCGTCGCTTGATCATGTGTGAGGCCAAACTACGAGCTAATCCTAGACAAGGGCAATCACCCTCCAGTACAACATCACTGCGTCCAAACGGAATTCACGAGGTTCCAGAAGTCTTGACGGAGACCCCATCCAGGAGAGGCTCGGCAACAAAGTACCGACGATACCACCGGCGTTCTAGAAACACTTTATTTGCACATGGTGATGTCTATATAGGGCCAACAAGGTTTGATAGGCCAAACCTCCATCACGCTGAAACATGCAATGAGGAGGAAAATGAAAATGAAAGCGAAAGTGAAACAGGGAAAAGTGAATGTCCCACCGCAAGGGAAACCATGAGTAGCGGAGACTTAGAAAATGGGGTAGAAAAAGCAGGAACCTTACTTCCCCAGACTAGTGAGGAACTTCCCCGTCTTTCCGCGCTCCCTAGAAATTTCACACTCATTAACTCGACGCACGAGAGCGAAGAAATTATCGAAGAGGACTCGAGGCCTTCTTCAGTTCTTTCTGAACGTCGTGGGATGAAAAAGAAAAAGTTACACCCTGGTGTCCAATCGTCTCGTCGTAAAAAATCCAGCAGTTCTCTCTCAAAGTCGTGGATAGAATTAAAAGCTGAGCGAGCGCAATCACCACAGGAGAACGGGCGTCCTCAGAGTTCCCGCGGGAACAAAGCCCGCGTGTCTCCGGCGGATGCACGGGGAAGTTACAAAAACCCTGGTATAGAGATGGAAAGTTCCCCTAGTTTATCTTCATCCCGGATTTACTCGGTACCCTCGTTTAAGATGGACATGGAGACTACCAGACTGGATAAAGGACATTTACCTGGCGAAGAGAACAACTCAAACTCGGCGATTGTAAATGACAGCAGTCACAGAACTACTAAATCAACGGAGCACGATTTTACGAACGGTTTTATAGCCTAGCAGTAGAGAAAACTAAGGAAAGTAATATATATTCGTTCACAATTGCATGTAGATGAAAATTTCCGTATTTTCAACCCATATTTAGTGTTTAATTAAGGATTTTCCTCTATCTAGATCACGCTGTAGAGCACACTTCTGAGGCTAGCGCTGGATATTCAGGGTGTGGCTAGAGATGGGAGGGGGCTCCTGGTGTGCTCCTATCCCCCGCTTTATTAAATGACTCTCTATAACGTCAGCAACTTTAAAATGTAGTGAGAAAGCGAAAATCACTGATAAAAGTCTGCACGGTATGCTTCACTCAGTGCCGGCATCCAACAAATTGACGCTTAGGCTAGAACACAGCGTGGATGTGAACATAACAGTCAGGCAGCTATGCTAAAAGGGACTTTGCCTAACCCCTATTCCCTCAGCTCTTCAAAAAATCCTATCCACTACCCTGGGTATCAAGATCAACCCAACTTCGAATGACTCAGCTCTTGCCCTTGTTAGGCGTTTACGTCGTCGTAACTTCGCTCCCCACTTCATTTAAGCACTGCAAACACTTTCTGTCAAAATGCAACTTCATGTAAGTACCTATAGATGACGAAACTGATGCAGTCTTAAGACTTTTACATCCAGCCAATCACTGGCATAGTTCTGGTTCTGGAGTGAGTGGAATTTATCTCCACTGTTCTGTATGGGAAAACGCAGGCTCGTTTTCCATGATTTATAATATGCTCGAAAATAAAAAAAAAAACATAAAGAAGTTTATATTTGTATTCATACCATATTCGCTAGGCAACGTTCCCTAAAAGTGTAATAATTGTAATAAACATACCGATCAGACATCAATTCAATAAAGTTATCGTAATTAGTGCTCTGAATGGTTTGGACTTAGGTAGGATTTATTGAAGGACATGCCGAGGAAATAGAAAAGGGATCAATTAATCTTTTGTTCCGGTGGTAATAGACATAGAGTAAAAAACCGTACCTATTTTCTATCATTAGAATAATCTTTCTGGTTATCATAGAGATGCGCGCGCTCTGATTGGTCGAGGATTGCATTACCTCTCGCTTTATTAAAAACTGGATCATTGGATAATACAATTCAAGACTTTTTATTGGCTTAACCATTATGCGTATATGAGCCAATATACCATAATCTAATATCTGTGTGTTGTAACATTCGCTTTCTTCTTACAAATTGAAGTCGAAAATATTTGTCTAATATCTTGGGGGCATTTTTTTAAAAATAATTTTAATAAAACAATTATTCCACTCGCGTTTGTTGGATATGTGATGATTATAGCCAACTCTGCGCTACGCGCCTCGTTGGCTATCTATCATCTCATGTCCAACGCGCGCTCGTGGAATAATTATTGATTATTAAAAACTGGATCATTGGATAATGCAATTCAAGACTTTTTATTGGCTTAGCCATTGTGGTATATCAGCCAATATACCATAATCTAATATCTGTACATCGTAATATCCGGTCTCTTCTCACGAAATAAAGTCGAGAAGATTTGTCTAATATCTTGGGGGCGTTTTTTTTTTAATAAAACAATTATTCCGCTCGCGCCAAACGCGCGTTCGTAGAATAATTGTTAAATAATCATCTCGTGCGAGGTGATCATAACAGGGGCGCTAAATTTTAAAGTGGCTGCCTCGCATTTTGTCAATGGTGAAATGAATTTCTAAAGGATTCGAAAGCACCAAAGCAGTTATGCTAAAAAATTATTCGCGACAGGGTCAGTGAACATTGTTGAATAATCCACCATCCATCCCCTCGACTTCGTCTTGGGGAGTTTTCAACAATATTAGAGAGATTTAGCACCGCGTTTACGTGAAATGTGAACGACAAGAGTGACCACGTGACCTTGTCTTTTTTCCGCCATTTTTTCAGGTTTGCCGGTTGCCCTTGCCCTTTTTACGTGAAAGTAACCTGTTTCGCGATTGCCGTGTACGTAAAATTTAGCTTCACTTTTTGTCCTACAGTGTAGAAGTTATTGCCGGATAAAGGGCACCAAAACTATTCCTTAAAAGTCATACAAGGGCTCCTTCAAATCCACCATGATGTGAGCTTACGCGAAGCTAAAGCAGCAAAGTTCACGCTATTTTACGTGAAACGTGAAAGGGCAGGCTGACGTTTGCCGTTTTACGTAAACGCGGTGCTAAATAATCTCCCTATTCAATTCACCTTCTGCGAATAATTGTCAAATATCATAGCGCGGTGTTACCAGGTTTTCCGCTCGCGACAGTCGCGGAGGTTGATGTGGGTTTTCTTTGGTAGTCTTTGTCTTTTGAGATGTCGTTTGTCAACTCAAGGATTTACGCCTTTGTAATCAGAACAACGTCTCAAGGTAAGACTAACGGCTACTTAAGTAAGATTTCTTCACAGCTCCACCTCATTTTGCATGCAGTTCTTGGATAAAGTAAAGAGTGGTAAAAAACGATGGATTGCTTTTGGGACTAGAGCTTTCAAAAGTACGGGGTTATACGAAAATCTTTCCGTAATTTCAACTAACATATCCCTGGACTACGAAGCGTAAACAAGCCTTTGAAATTGGAAATCACGACTTTACCAAAACATGAGAAGGAAATGGTACAATTTGAGTCTAAGAGGTGGTTTGCACGTTACGTCATGGCCGCCATGTTGGTGGACGTAAACAATGGATAACTCGTTAGCTTCTTTTGTTCTTCCACCAGCATTTGTTCCTTTCACCATTGTTACCTGTGTCTCTAGAGCTTGGTTGCAAACCACCTATTTCTTTGAATGATCGAGGCATCACTGTCGATAATATCAAATTTGAAGTTGTGATTGGATAAGGTGTTGTAAATTTAGAGGAGAAGGAATTATGACTTTCATATAAATCATGCGGACTTTGAAAAGCAAAGAAACAGTTAACTGTTACATTCAGCTTTGTGGTCCCATTCGAGCCAGCTGGACTTGAACTTTCTGTCCCAGGAAGTGTGCAGCTCATGGGTCAAGTTACTCTCCTTTATTAGGAAATATTTTAACATTTTTACCTCTGTAATGTTTTGATAGTAATCCTACCGGAAGTTGTCGTAGCGGAAGTTCTAAGACATTGCAAAGGATCATGGATATTTGTATGGGCCATGCTTTCCGGATGTCATGGCGGACAAATGAAGAGTACGCTCGTTTTATATTTAACCTGGGTTATTGTGCGGCCATCCAGGTGACATCGTTACAACCTCCAAGATCTAAATACTTTTTTCTCCACTGTCAATTATAGATATCTTATAATTTTGACAGCGAAAGTTTTCTACAGTGTTTTGAGTTTTTTGTTGTCTTAAAGACAAATTCTCACAGAAAGTAGTAATATGTTGTGGCAGAATCACCTAACTGGTCTCTGCAGGGAGTGAGAAATTTGAAATTTAAAAGCACTGTGGCTGACAATTATAAGTGCCAGCCCCTCTGGATATATGAATAAAGGCTGATAGTTTCGAAAGAAACTGTTTGGGGCTGCGTCGGTGGGAGTAACGAAATAATTTGGATATATCAACAAAGTTAAAGTGGTAAATTGGCCACCGTAACGATTACAAAAGCTGACGTTTCGAGCGTTAGCCCTTCGTCGGACCGAATAGAGGAATTGTGGGTTGTGTGTGCTTTTAAAGGCAGAGAATGGAGCTACGTTATATGTTTTGTATAAATGTTGTGTATTTTAACCTGTGCCTTTCCTGTTTTTCCTGATTATAAATCAAGTATGTACTATTCATAATAGTGTTTGAATGTTAACTCAGAGTCCTTAATTAACTTTCTGAGTCCCTCTCTGGAAAGCTTATATGATGTTGGCAGCTCTGTCTGCATCCTCCCTTTCAATTTGGTTGTTCTGTGCCTTAAATTGCCCCCTCTCCTCCAAACCTCAATTATACAATTATCTGCCTCAATGCAGCAGCAAGAACATCTAGATCAACTAATCAATAAGTTATTGATTTACAGGCATGATCAGTTTTTCAAAGGATCCTTAAAAACTGTTCAGGGCAGCTGCAAAGAAGATGCATGGTGAGTTTTCCCCAATCCTATCTGGGTTTGGGTGAGAAAAATTCAGCCACACTATCATAATGGTATCTTTCTGCCCTCTTGTGCTTCCAATTCCATAGGCTTAAAGCAAGAATTTTCTAAGAGAAGTTCAAGGACTCATTCTAAATGATCCATAGCAAAACAGGGACAGTTTAACTTATTTACATGAAGTCTAACCCAAACCACGGTTTTACACAAGCAGTGGGCATTAGGGATTGTTAATAAGATGGTTGATTTAACTAAATGAATTCCCTTCCACTATTAGCTTTTGGGCCTCTTGACACTGTTCACAAAATTAAATATTCAGATTATTAAAGGTGAAGATGGCTTAGGATGAGTAGGTTTTGTTGTGCTATATTGGCTAAACTTTGTTTAAATAGCTGCGGCCCTTAAGTTAAGTTTGAAAACACTAGACTGATAACCATATTATGCACATTCCAAGATCAATTCTCAGGGCTTAGATTTCGTTTCTTGAATGGAATGTTTCCCTAACACCTCTACCAAAGTAAGTTCAATTTGTTTTTTGATAAGTTGTTTAGCTTATGAGTTTCTCCTTCACAGTCCCCTGATATTTGCTTATGAATTGAAGGAGAATTTAAAACTAGATATTATAAGACTGCAGTCAATTACTGGGCTTGTTCTTGTCATTATAACCCCCTCTGTTATAGTAATTCATGCAATCTGACTCGATCCAGGCCAGCTCATGATGGTCCATGAAATCAATCTGGTACCCATTTCTTGAAAGTCCTGGTGACTTAATGGCCCAGTAAAGCTGTTCTGTTTTCATTCACGATGGGGACTTCAAAAGTTTTGAAAATGATACAATAACACAGTCAGTTAAAGAAACAAAAAGGAATGGTTTGAGTGCCAGAACCTACTTTCGGATCCATTAAATTTTGATTTTAAAACATGGCTTTGGGCCCATTATGTTAGTGGGACTTCCAAGAAATGGGCCTCTGGTCTGTCTACACATCATAGTGGGTGGGGGGTGGGGGGAGGAATTAAAAGGCAGTGGGCTGGTACCTATTACACAATATTTCAGGCTCCCTATTCAAAAGTCATAAAAGTTTAATTATGATTATGGCATATTGGCACCTGGGTCAAGTTGTGTTCCTGGGAAGAATTAACTTAAGAGTGACCAGCATCGAATTTCTCTTTACAGTTAACTGCTGAATCATTCATTTAGATCACAAGAATAAAAGGAAATGATCACTAACTAAAGAAGCTCTTGATTGTCAAACACATTCTCCTTGTCAGAAACTTAGGAAATGTGTGGAAAAAAATATGGAGAATATGCATAATGGTGTCAGGGTGGAAAGGTTCAGTTAAGTCATTAATTTTATGGTTCTCCTGAGATCAGTCCACACAGGGAAGTGAATGGATAGCTGTGTTTTAATAGTTGTAATATTTTTATCTTATTGCTGTGGTCATTGGAATTTATAACATAACCAAAGCAAAGCGCGCACTCTGATTGGTCAATTTAGTGTCCCCCATTGATATTTTTCTTTATTCTCATCACTGATCTGCTTGGCACTTTATTGATATTGTAAGGAGAATTTCAATACAAGTCAGAGAGAGTTCAGGCGAAGATCCAGGAATTTTTCATTGCTGCCGGTCCAAACTTTGATTAAAAAGAGACATTGTTTTCTTATACACTAAAATTAGGGCCTAATATTTCAAGATACATAGGTTTTGAATACTTCAGGTTGAGTTGCTATATATGATCATGTTGTTAGAAGAATTTTGGTTTGAGGCATTTCATGAGTAGTAAAACTACTCCACAGGTCTGATTTTGGGGGGATTCGGACCCTCAGCACCTTCAGTCTGGATGCCACCACAAGAGATTATCCTCCTTATGGAGTTCAGGTATGATAGGGGTTGATTTAGATTCTGATTCCATTTTATGACTACATTGACTGAGAATACCGATTAACAATAGTTTATTTAAACTTCTTTTTTTAGGCGGTAAGTGTTCAAACAACTTTGCAAACGCATTATATTCCACCTATTGAGCTTTTTTTAATAAGAAGCTTTAGCGAAAACTGATGACAAATTGTTCATTTTTGCCTTAAAGGCATGTTTAAATTTTGAACAGTGATCTGTCATTAAATAAATAATTTTTTTATACATAATTTCTTATAAACAATAGGTTCAGGTAACTGTCTCAAATTAATTGCCTTTTTCGGTGCTAAAATGGCTCATTATAATTTTTAAAATTTAAAAAAGTTTGGTTTGATTTTAGCCTAGTGGGAGTTTATAAAGAGTGCTCGATTTAGGTAACCGAAATAATTTCCAACGTCGGCAGAAGCCCTTATGCAAGAACTTAACTGGTCAGTTCGTCTGCAGAAATAAAGCTGAAAAAGTATCGGTATGCCGGTACGAAACTAGCTCCACAAAATGTTCGCTTAAGTTAGGTTTCTGATAGTTCGACAGAGCTCAGAAGATTTAGAAAAAAATCTTTTCGTTTATGTTATTTGCCTTTTGGTGGATCGACCATACAGACCGATCCATGACCCTCAATAACTTGATCGCTTTTTCTTTCTTTAAAATCACTTTTTTTACTTTGACCATACAAGCACACTCACACAATACGCGCTCGTCGATTTCTATAATTCATGACTTCATAAGGAACCAAGTTCTAACCTTCAGAGATCCATGTGAGTATCTGGTTCACTACAAACCTACCCCTTCTCTAGCACTACAAGAGTCAACTGGTAACAAGTTAGGGTTGATGTTGGGTTTGGAGGTGGTGGGGGGGGGGGATGGGTGCGCAGTTGCTTAGATATGACACTGATCCGAACTTTTTAATTTGTGGACAAAAAACTCACGAGGGCGTTACCGTGACCGTTCGGTTAAGACAGGCTGCGCTAATAAACAATCAAATTGCTGAACTCGTTACTGTGGTTTCGTTGGGAAAAAATGAATAACACTATCATCTGAAGGAACTGTGGAAGCCATGCTCTCACGATTTTCCCTCAAGCTTGGGGAGTAAAGATGTACTGATGGGGGCACAAGAACCCCTTTTCTGCTCTGCGTCGTCTACACCCTCTCCTCCTTATTGTATTATAGTGTGTCCTGATTGGGGTCAGACGCGAGTCATATTCTGAATGTTATCTCGTTTATTTCCTCTTATGTTTGGCCCCAGGATGTCTTCTCTACTGTCTCTACTCTCAGCTGGTAGCATATTTTTACCCTGAGATGACGCAGAATGCGGCAAATGTTTTAATTCATGCTGAGAATCTCTATCGTTGCTGTGAGAATGTCTTGCATTGCTAGCGTATTTTTTGGCTTTGGAGTCGCCGGTAGATTCATATAGTGGCGGTCTTTGAATTCTCTCCTCAGATCTGACAAGTGGTGATATGGGCAGCGCTGAAATTGCACGATTTCCCCCTATGGCATTCCTCCTCTTACATGGCGGAGTGTCACTGGAAACCAGTTCGGTTTTAGCCCTCTGCCTGGGTTCTACAAGCTGTTTGTTCTGATTTGTTGCTCTGTTGCCACCCAAATTTTCGGTGGATTTCCAAGGTGGTGCAGGGTCTATTTTAGTATTGTTCCTGTGCTGTTCCCCTTTTTCCTCAGGGAAGTCTTCACTTGAGTCCAACGTCACCCCTACTAACCATACATTATTTTCAGAGTCACTCCGCGAGCGCATGTCATCTTCCGCTTTACTGTCCGAGAGAACAGCCACTTTGGTAGTGGCATTCTTGCGCTCGGAGGTGTTTGACTCGTTTGAAGATTCGTGCTCTACGCTATTCCTGTCCAGCTCGGTATGTTCCGGCCTGGAATGTCCGTGACTTTCACTTTCCCCTGGGCTATCCCCGTCCGTAGTTGTGTAATAATAACTGTCTCGGTCCTTCTCGTTAGACGATGCATCTCCGTTGCCACGGCTGGCCAATCGCTTACTTCCCCCCCGCCGTCTCCTACGCTGACTATTTCTTCTCGCCGGAGGAGACTGTGCGGGAGAAATTGCCATGCGACGATGTACGTGCGATGGAGTTGTTATATTAAGCATAACGTCACTAACCCCCTTGAGACCGCTGGATATATCCACTGCGCTACCCGTCGGGGGAGATGAGAACAACTCTTCTGTACTCTTTTTTCCATTGGAAGTACGGTCCATTTCTGATGCGTCCGACTCTAATGTAGGTAATGCAGCATGTTGTAATGCAGCATGTTGTAATGCAGCATGTTGTAATGCAGCTTCTCTTCGAGTCGAACGACAGCGAGGAGTTATCGATGGATTCCGTAGACTCTTACGAGGTAAAGGCAATGCTTCTTCCCGAGGGGTTGGACTTTCGCCGTCATCAGAAATGTTTGAGTTTCCGTCGTTGTTGAATAAAGTGGACTCGGATACGAGTGCGCCTGCAGCACCGAGTAAAAGCGGTGTTCTTTTCTTTTTAGGAAGTTTTAGTTGAGCTTGTGCGTGAGAGTAAAACAACGTGAAATTGCTGCCAATCACTGAAACAGGCAATGCCACGATAAGAACTCCCACGCATGCGCAAACTGTACCAATAATCTTTCCAAGGAGAGACTTGGGATGAACATCACCGTAGCCCACTGTTGTCATGGTGATTACAGCCCACCAAAAAGTTCCTGGAATGCTGGAAAAATCCGTTTCATCATGATTCTGTAATAACAAAACAAAGGCAAACAAAATTACAATCCTTCTCAAAGAAGTTAATCATTTGGTCACGACTGTAGGAAAAAGGAAAAACTTGAGTCCATAAAAAGGGTCTGAGTCCGACGCTCAACCTTGGAGCTATCACAACCCTCATTTCCTCCATTCGCTCTGACGAAGGGCTAACGCTCGAAACGTCAGCTTCGAAACTCTTTCCGGTGGCCAATTTAGATTATCAACTCAGTTGATAAAACCAAAATAATTTTTTTAATTTGTAACATCGACGCAGCACGGCAGGTCCCTTAGAAACTTACCTCCTAAGATCAAACAAGTCACATGTACCTTTTAAAAGGTTATATAAAACATTATTACACGACTCGGGTGGTCAGACGGCCAATAACTAAAATCAACCAATCAAAATGCTCTATTGCCGGTCAATATTCTCTCAGTATTGGACCGGGCACTGTCCCGAATGGTCCCGAATTATACCGCACTTGCGTCCCTTTGAACTTCAATCGTGTAATAAATCTCTTATTAACCAAGCTTGCTCGGGACCGCGCTGGAGGAATATCGGCCCTCGGTCTTTAATGTACGGACCTCGCTGCGCTCGGGCCGATATTCTCCCAGTACGGCCCTCGCGCTTGGTTAATAAGATATATGTTCCACACGGAGCAGTACCCAGTTTCTCACCTTTTCTGCGTAGTAAACCAACGTTGAGAAAATGACCATAGGTATCAGTAGGATAAGAATCAGAAGGAACAGTTCCCTGGCACTGGCCCTGAGTGTGTGCCCGATCACTTGCATACCACTCATGGTCCGGAAAAACCTGAATAACCTGAAAATCCTGATCAATCGGAGGACGAAAAGAAAGCTAAGGGTATCAGAGACATTTGTTTCACAAAGTGCCAGATGAACGTAAAGTGGTATAACGGATGCAATGTCAACCCATGTCATGAAGGTTTTGAAGAAAGTTACCAAAGAAGGGCATGTCAGCAGCCTTGCTAGGAAATCTGCCGAAAACCAAACGAGATAGAAGTATTCCATCCCTTTGAACAAGCCTTTGTAGTTCTATTCCAGTTTTTGTATCGATTGCATGCAAAACGTTGCTACTGACAAGATGATGACGATCAAAGACACCATTGCAAAAATCTGTAAAGAGGAAAAAAAGTCATTCAATTATGACTTTTCCAAATAAGCCAATTTAAAGTAACAACCAAGTAAGTCAGCCGACTTGTAAGGGTTTGCTGTCACTGTCATCGTCATCGTTATCAATATCACATCGTCATCTTCATCACTACTGATCTCGCTGATCATAATAAGGATCACGTATTTCGACAGCGCCATGTCCTTTAGCTCATAGCACTTTACGACACTTTGGCCAGACTGTCTTAAGCAGTTTACAATATTTTGAAGGAATTTTTTGCAGCTTTCCCCAATATCAGAATCGAGGTCAGACCACAACGCTGGGAACTACATTCCCTATAGTTACTCTTTGCGCTAAGTGTGTGGGTTCAACGTCCCCTCCTAACCAGTACAGATCAAATGTGTATGTATAGAACTTAGACGTCTATATAGAACAGTACGTCACGGCGCGCCATGAAACATACGGCCTACTGCATATCTGATAAAGCACCACTGCTAGTATGGTGATATTTAAATGCAAATTAGATTAAATAGATTCCATTTGATTTACTTTAAAGTCACTGTCTTCACTAGGTTTTAGCTGTGGTCATAACTGAGAAAATATGACGTTGTGCAAAAAACATGACAGATAAATGTCCTCTATTTTAATTAAAAATGACTTTTCCTCTCTGTTTACAAAAACATGAATATAAACAATTCAGTGGCTGAAGGTACAGGGTACTGCTTAATTTTTTTCCGAAAATCAGGTCTTTCATACGGGAAACTAAATGAAGTGGTCTTTCCCATTGGAAATTTTTCGATATATTAAATGCCTTCAATCATATCTCTTTCCTCTTTTTTGTTTCCATCAGAGTTACCGAGAAATTTCCATTTGCCTTTTGTCAGCCAAAATGTAGCACTCAGGCTCTTACAAGGTAATATTCAAGCCTTTGCGAAGGAATCTCCTTGTTTCGTTCTACTGAGCTTCAGAAAATATTCAACCGTCCGCTTGAACATTGAATGCGCTTCTTTTTGATCCAATTCTAAAGAAAACCACCCCTGCTTTTTGAAGCAAGCATAAACTAAAAATCGCATCCGTGTCCGTAATAAGCATTTCAAAGAAGAGAACTGTATTTTTTTTTTCATGTGACCAATTTATCCCTTTCTAGACTGGTGATCATAAATTATTGACAATAACGGCACTCCCTACTAAAATTCCCTTCGACAATCGAGAGGAGATTGTAAGAGCCTTGAATAACTAACAGTCCGTGGATAACAACTTTTGCAGTGCATATCAATTAAAAATGCCTTTTAATTTCAAGTCTTTGAAATATCGGCAAATAGAGTTGAATAAATGTGGCGTAAAATTATCGACTCGCCAGACAATCGAACATTTAATAGCAAAACAGTTACGAATTATATGTATTTCAAACGCGCCCAAGTTGCATTTTTTCCACCGTAAGTACTGATCCACCCATACATTGTTGTGTAGCGTTAGGATACTTTAATTTTGACGCCGGTTCTTTCGTCTCAGATCAGTATTTCCAAAACCTGCTGGCCACAATTCGCGAGCAAAAACACTTGAGCTTTCTTCAAAGTTTTGGACGGGCATTTTCTAAGATGATACATACTTTAGGCAACCCACGGTGGATTACGCATGATGTAGTATGATTGAAAGCTTAATGAAATGCCGGCATTGGAATTGGCGCGAATTTACCGACTTTCTATGAGACAATCGACTTTCGCCAACATTCAGCCGATTATTATTTACATTTGAATTATATTCAAATGAAAATAACCCGGCGATATTATCGATTCCTGATTAGGCAACCTTAAAGCTGTTAAATTCATGTATTCGACACATTTGGAAAAACAGAGGTCAGAAAATTGAAATTTTCCACATCGCTTTTATATTCCATGCCAGCTTTTCGCCCCCTTCAATTTGTTAGTCAAATTTAGCTATTTACTTATATAATATTATGCTAAATTCCTACAGCAGGTACCCACGCAGATTGTTAGAGCAGTTTTAAGACAGCTTGTGAAAGATGAATATATATTTATTAACGAATCCTTTTAACAATTTTATTTACAGAAGCTATTTTACAGGATTAAAGTCAAGTTTTATCATTTAAGAATGTTGTATGACTCTTTAGGGCGAACTATGATAATATATTTTGTTTTACCACAAGCATACTTTCGGGAGGTGTTTATTAACGACTTCAATACACGAAATGTATTGTTTTGCATTTCGGTCTAATTCAGATGAAGGTGAAATAGAGATCTCTCTTAGAAACAAACTACCACGAGAAGAAATATTAAATTTTAGGAACGAAAAATGAGTCCCTTTTCTTCGGTAAGGAAACGAAATATTCTCTGAGCCATGAAAGATATACAAATTTGAATTTTAGATTCATTTGATGGTGAATTTTCTATTAAATCGGAGAACTTCTTCAAAGGTAGTTAATTTTGGGAGGAAGTGTTGTTTTGGCGCTTAAAATTTGAAAGGCTTTCGCTTACTGTATTTTTGGGTTTTTTTTCCAGCCCTTCATTAGAAAGCTTCGTTATGGTTTTTTGTTGTCGAATCAATAGGGAAACTAAAGATTGCATGGAAACGTTTCTGTCACATATCGCCTAGTTTTAGGAATAATTATTTTCATGGAGTTGTGAGTTTTAGTTCCACACAACAAAAGACCCGGCAAAATTAGTTTCGTGTAACACAAAAAGTGCATAAAAAACGAAGGAGCAGCTCTTAAAAAATTTATGAGTAAAAGAGACAATCTTTTAGGAGATCTAATAAGCTCAAAATAGACGCTGTTATTTCCATGGTCTTTAATGGGAAAATGCTTTGAGCTACGTTGCTAGACAATCTTGCTCGTGTTGAAATTTTTAAAAGCGAGCTGACTTGTTGACATTAAGTTAAAAGAAAAAAATGTGTTTAAAGCTTTGAACGGAATACACAGACAACGTCCCAAATGACAGTGAAAATGCATCAAGACAAACAGTATCTACGCCAGGAACTATACTTTGTTTTTTCGGCCAAACATGTGGTTAAAATCAGATACGCTCTGTATAGGATGAATTCTGCTTGTTGACAAGTCTCTGTTTAAAACGTTTGAAAACGAATTTTGTGATGTTAGTAGAAGGCGCATCGATCTTCACCGACAATTATTCCATTTGAAGTTTGAAAACACATAGCCTTTAGCCAAAATGTCAACTGGCTCACGGTCATTTGCATATCTACAACCTTTTCGCGGGAGCAGAATTATTATGCAAAAGAAAAAAATTAAATAAAGTTTAAATGACTTAACCTTGCACAAAAAATCACACAGATGCACTTAAAGTGTTGTGAAACAATCGCGCAAATACACATCACCTCCGCACTTCATATCAAGAGCATGCAATTCGATCCATTGGATGTAAATTAGAAACGGACGTTTCTATTGCCGAGTAAAAACGAGAAAACAGGCGGGTAGTTTTTTTAGATACTCTCCGGGCAAAATCGTTTCGAAAAACATCGAAACTTTATGTTATGTTTTAATCTGGATTTCCCAGCCGTAGGGTATCTTCAAATCTAAACCTCTTACCTGTGCGTACTTGGAAGAGTAGGGCTCTTCTAACATGGCCCATATTTCGCTTTTCCACCTCATACGAGTTGAAACGTTCTTTCGAACTTTGAATGGACTGTTCTCGTTTTCGGATTCCTCGACGCTTTTTTGCAAGCCTTCGAATGCTTTAAGAGTGGCTTGTGCGTCTCTGTGTTGCGTGTAATTACTCCAGCAACACGGCTCCATCTGCAATTCATCGATGCCCCAAAAAGCCAGCTCTTCTTCAAATAGCGGCCCGCAAACATCGCTCGGGCTGTGTAGCTTACCAGTCCTATAGTAATTGATAATACTGGCGAATATCCCTGGATGTCGATCAAAGAAGTACTCGTTGTTCTCGGGGTCGTATTCAGCTTGCTTTGAAGCATTTTCAGCTATCCAAGCCAGCCGAGAATCCGGTACAACTTTAAGTGTGCTTAAGTACGTCTCATGGCGATATCCACCTACGTTGATAATTACCCGATCCTTCGCTACGCCGCGAGCAGGCAGCGAGTCCTCGAAGTTGGATTCGGTTTTCGACCGAATTACCATCCCTTGTTGATGAAGCATCGAAACCTTGGAGTGTTGTCCAGATAGCCGCGTGCTATGCCTGAATTTTCACATTTTTAAAAGCATTTTTGTCAATAAAAATTTACGAGAGGCGACACGTGCGGCATGGTTGAGGCAATTCAAATCACAGAGGTTACATTCATTACACTTCCCAGGCCACCTGTTCATCGAAGTCTTTTTGTAATTTCAAACGCATTTGCATTTTATCCAAAACAGGTCTCGTTGATGCACCTTTTCGATGCTGTAACAATTGGGCGTTTATCACGGTAGTGACCCCAAACGTCCTGACTATTCAATAACACCTCTGTATCGCATTTGCCTGCACAGGAAACGTAACTCGATTGTGGTACGGGTTCTAGAGGCACTCTGGTTAATTTACGAACACACCGCGGTTTGTTTTACGTTGTAAATCAATATTTAAATACAATGAATAGAGCTATTAGCCAATCAAAAGACGACTATAAAACATAGCCTAAAAGCTTTAAATTTGTCACACACACCATTGATTATTTCTAGCGTTATGCTGTCAAAACTTAAGCCCAAAACATGTCTTTAACCGGATGCAATAAGAACTCGATGAAAAAAATCAAAATTATCATCGTAAAAATGAAATTAAACAGTTTGCTATCATTCCCTGGCTGACAGCTTCGAGACTATGTTCCTAATTGGCGGAAATCTTTAGTTCTCGCGTAGATTTGGCACCTAGGAACCTACTATGAACAGGATAATATCTCTTTGTTTAAGTTTAAAGTTTTAGTTGACGAAATTGCGGTTTCTTTTCGACACTCGCAAACAAATAAGAGCTTACTGGTAACAATGAACTTCAAAAACAAAGGCAAATTTGTTGTTAGGGAGATTATTATTTTTCCCTGAAAAAAAAATTAATTTCTTAGTTAAATTCTTCAGTAGATAATGATTTCCAAAGCCTTGAACAAAATAAGATACCACGGTGACCCAAAAGCCGTTTTTGAAGAATTTTTGCAAGAAAATGCGAAAATAAACTAAGCATTTCCAGAGTGATTTTATTGACAACATTTTTAATCATAAGCACATTAAAGACCACCCGTCTGTAGCCAGGATCGATTGTATTAAAATAATCGACTTTGCAGGAAAACTAAGCTGTTTCTTTAGTCGAGGAAAGTAAGGGGGGACGCAAACCACACCACTACACAATACAATCAGCTGAAGACATACCTTACTAGGAAAAATTTCCTATGAAATTTGCGACATAAACCTTGACGATGAACTGATTACAAACCTCTGTAAAGCGTGAGAGTTTCAATAGTACAAAAAAATTGTTGAACCAGCATAAGAACTATTAATTTAGTAAATGGACTGTCCATAGCATAGCAACGATGGTCAAAACACCCAACAGTAAACTTTTAATTAAGAATGTGTAGAATTTTGTCCATAGAACCCTGCATGCTATTCAAATTGCAATTACATATTTTAGAAGATGTTTTGATTTAAATGATGTTAAACTTTTTGCCGCAACTCAGCACTCCAATCTATGTGATTTTTTCTTCTTTCCAAATACCATTAACCGGTGGACCATATAGTTTAGTAAGCATAACCTTCTCTTAAAACGGTCGCTCAGAAACGCTTTTCAGAAAGATAGGAAACCGTATATTTAGTGTTGATTGGGGTTTGTGTAAATTGCCAGGCTGGAGTTGAAAAGAAATCAGTCGAGGCCTCCGGATCAAGAAGCACCTATTATGGAAAATCTGTGTGATTAAAAAGTCACAATTTAGCAGCCATTATTGAAATATGTATAGTACCTGATAACATACTTACAAGATCGTTCGTGCATTTGTTATGAGCTGATGCCAGCAGGAGATAAATTGCTGGATTCGCGAATTGAGGCAGCTCAGTTGTTGTACGGGACCAGCATATGATTAACTTGCTTTCGACGAATGCGAATGCTACCGCAAGAAAAACCCGCAGAAAAACACAGCGGTCGCGCGTCAGGCGTGCGCAAGGCGTCAAGTTTGATGACCCGCGTGCCGCACAAACTTTCAAAGAATAAATTTCAACAGAAAAAACAATGGCAGTTGTGTGTCAAATGCTTTTGCTTATTTTACTTTCTGCTCTGCATAATAAGCATTTGGATCCTTTTAGGTACACTACTTCGCTCCCAAAATGTGGCTCAGTTGATTTCTGGGTAAGTTGATATCTACAGCTTCTTTTGACTGGCTTTTCGTTCCAAACTCGCGCTCATCTTCGAACAGAGGCTGCATGTTGAGCGTCGTGTCTT